GGGCCTCTAAAAAAGTGTTTAGTTTCTTTTAAAATAAAAAAAAAATGAAGGTTTAGGTTAAAGAATATATATAAAGAAGAAAATATAATCATCTTTATACTAATGCAGTCATAAATTATAATTTTAATTTATGTGTGTGTCTGAAGGAAGTGGCCCATAAAGGCAAAAATCATGAATGTCATAACTAAATGGATATAGTTTAGATATTTGTTCCATCCAAGTCTTGGGTTGAAATCTGATACCCAGTGTCAGAGGTGGGGCCTAATGGGAGGTGTTTGGATCATGGGGAAAGATCCCTCATGAATGTCTTGGTGACATCCTCATGGTAATGAATGAGTTCTTGCTCTATTTGTTCCCACAAGAACTGATTATTAAAAAGATTCTGGCACCTCCTTCCCCTCTCTCTTGCTTCCTTCTTTGCACCAAGTGATAACTGCGCCCCTTCCCCTTCCTCCGTAAGAAGAAGCTCCCTGAGGCCCTCACTAGAAGCAGATGCTGGCACCATGTTTCTTGTACAGTCTGCAGAACCGTGAGCCAAATAAAGCTCTTTTCTTCATAAATTACCCAGCCTCAGGTATTCCTTTATAGCAACTCAAATGGACTAAGACATCAACCCTGTTACCACACATACCAAGCATAAATCTGTTATCATAAAGGAGATAAAAATCCTGTTTTCAGAAAAATAAAATCAGATAATCTGTTAATCACAGATGGGTGGATTGCTTTTGCATACATACAAAGTTGGGAGTTGGGACGGTCTGGTGGGGGAGGCAGGTGGTGGGTGAGTTGAGTTAGAAGCAACCAGGATTCTCCATGTTTTGTGGTCATGACCCTCAATTCCTCTCTCACTAGCAGACTGCTCCAGCTAATTAGCAAATCAAAAGAAAGAGAAACAATTCTAGACCTCAGCACAATCAAATTAGTGAAGTTATTTGAGGATATCATTTTCACACAGTGTAATCATGTTCTCTTTGTTTTGGTCAAAAGAGTGAAAATTATCTTTCAAACCCAATGCCTTTCCCTCTACCCAACTGGCTCTATGGTTAGTGGCATTTCTTGTCTGTTCTCATCAGTTTTATACATGATCTTTTTCTGTGAAGACAGGAATGCACAATGTACAATTAAACAATACCCATCAAGCTCCCCATACAACAAGGACCTTTTAAAAATACATTTGACTTTTAACGTGATTCAGCAGTAAGAGCCATTAGTGCACCATCTAAATCAGGACTTGGAAAGTGTATTAAAATTGGATTTTTAACCTGATCCCAATTTCCTCTGCTTATAAAGAATCCCATTGGACTCCTTAATATTCATGCTATTAACCTGAAAGATTCAAATGGCCATTAAGGGAGGAGAGGCTATATAGGGCAGGCCAATAGACAGGAGTTACAAATAAAACCCTCCTGAGTCCAGGCAGGTAAAATAGTGTGGATCCTGGACATCTTCAGAAGCAACCTCTCTCTTTTCTTCTCTCTCCTCACCTCCCCTCTTCTTGCCTCCCCTCTCCTATCACATATTTGGTGGAAAAGAAAATAATTAAAAACAACAACAGCAAATGTAAGCCAACAATTACACAGAACACTGGGCTGGAGTCTCATTTTTACTACAAGGGTTGCTACCCTAAATAAATCACTTCTTCCTCTGGTGCTCCAATGCACTCCTTCGATTATAAAATAGGGAGTCTGGGCTAATGATCTCTGTGATGGGTTACAAGCATGTACTTTGGAGTCATGTGAGATCTAGGACTTGAATATATATCAGTCCTATCACTTACAAGTATGTTATCTTGAACAAGTTGCTTAATTTCTCTCTAAATCTCAGTTTCCCCATATGTAAAATGAAAGAAAGGTGTAGCTCATGTAAGTCATTTTTGCATGGTTCCTAGTGCATAAGCCTTGGATATATCTCAACTGGTATTATTATTGAATATGGACCAAACTCATAGATCAGTGGCTTTTGTTTTTATTTCACCCTTTGAGCCGTTGTCTTCTACAGAAAACAGTTATAATTTAGCTGATGCCAGTGAGTTTCTGTAAAGGTGAGCTACAGGTGTCAGCCTTCTTCTCCTTGAGATAAGATTTTATGCTCTCTTAGGGGAGTGTAGATGTCTTAACTTTCCATTTCTCCCTCAGTAACTGGGATAGTGTTGAACAGATACCAGGTGCTCCATAAAGACTTTGATATCTTAGAATATTAGTAGTGCAGAGATCATCTACTAAAACTCTCTGATCTTCCAGTTGTTGACACTGAGGAAGAGAGTATTGGACCACACATCTAGAAGTGACAGCCACTTCTCCAGCTGACTACCACTATGTATTCTAAAAGCCTCCATTCTGACGCCTCTAGTTTAGAAAGGGAAACATGTCTGTCCTAAACCCTAACTCCCTGAGGGAAGTTCAATTTAAAAACTGTTTTTTTTTTTCTTTTTTTTTAAAGCATAGTATATTTCAGACACCAGGCAAGGTGGTTCTTGGGAGAGATAATTAAATCATGGCATCCATGCTCAAGGCATTTATAATCTAGTGGAAGGACAGATCCCTAAATAGATTATTTTCAACACAATGTTTGTGTTGTTATAGAAGAGCTAACTAAGGTCTGCTACTGTATGAGCATCTGGATAGAAAGCATAGCTCATGACTAAGAGACTTCAGGGAGAGCTATTTAGGAAAGGTTTCAAATGTCTGAGCAGAGACAGAAAGCTAAATAAGAACAAAATAGCTGTTGATACTTTTATTTATCTGTACATATTCATAAGAACATCAATTACCGATCAGTGAATGATTCCTGGAATTGAAAGGAAATGCCAGTCCTCAAATTCTTGTCACTTGGTGCATGTACCTGTAGTCATTTCCTATAAATGGAAGCTTCTAACAGATACTCAAGGCTGGGTCCTGGGATTCTAGGTTCTTTCAGTTTCTTGTGGTGGGGAACTAAGTATGTCAGTAACTTGCTTTAGCTTGCAGGGTGCAAATGGAATCATTGCTAACCAACTTCATCTCTCACAGTGGGCTGTGAAATTCATACTATGGGCACCAAAGCACTTTGAACTCTTTAGAAAAAATAATCATACCAACTTAGGACATCAGAATCATGCCCTATTTTGAAGAACTCATGATTCGCACTGTGCTGATTACTGGTACGTAGAAGCTTAAAGACACCAATAATTGACAGGGCTTTATCTCAGACTTCCATGCAACCCACACAACCTCATACATGATTTTACACAGCTTCATAGAATAAAGGAGAAAAGCACTTATTTTAAATCTAATGTAAGTTTAAATGCTAAGGCTTTTCAAAGCGGGACTTTAAAGTGACTTTTAAAAATTCATGTTTTTCACCTAAAATAGGCATGTCAGTGGTAGTCTGACTCAAAGAAGTAGCTAAGGTCATTCAACTCCTAAAATCTTATTTTCCATAAGCACCATTAGGATTAGGTCTTAGCTTCCAGGAAGCTTCTGGCTTTATCAAACAGCCAGAAAATACTGGTCATTGCTTTGCTTTCCAAAAGGGCTGCGGGTAATCTTTGCATGAGTTAAGGGCTCAAGTTCCTATAGAAGCTTTCCCTTAGATGGGAGAATATTTTTAAATTTAACACATTAATATGAATTGTATTTAACTCACGCTAGTTTTGAGCCCGGGGCCTCGTGAAGCACATGTAACTCACACATCTCTTTACCTTGGTAGCAGCCTGAACTATTTTTCAAGTTGCATATAACTCATGCACAGAAAACAATAAAAAATAACGATTTTTTTTATTAAATTAGAAAGGTTCCTTTTGTTTTCAAAGTACTTATTCTATTTTCGTAATAAAACACCGTGGTCCCAAGGAAAAACCTTTTTTCTAGTATGGCAGTCAATGTGTTAAAAAAATTAATGAAATATTTTTTAAAAGTAAATCACTAATTTTTCCAAATATGTATATCGTAATATTTAAGATATGGGGGTTCTATTGAAATCTCATCTAAAGGAAGTTACTTTGATGTTCATTCGGCTTTTCTTTTTTTTTTTTTTTTTTTTTGGTACGGTTGCTGACCTGCCTTTGAGGGCAACTCGCGTTAGCTCGGGTAAGCAGGCGGCCCGGTTTCTCCAAGGACATTCCAACCGCACGCTCCTTGAAATTTTCAGTCTCAAATCCAACTACTGGATGCAGGTCAGTTATCCCACAGAACCTCCCAGCTTCCGGAACAGGGGGCGGGGGCAGGGAGACCCTGCTTTATTTCAGAGTTGACTTTTGCAATCCTAGTACACCAGCAAAAGCCGAGCGGCATTCTCCGCGCTCTCCCGGCAACCGGCGTCCACTCCCAGACGCGCAACCGAATGAGAGGGCGTGTTCAATGGCCACAGGCCGCTCCCCGAAGCCGGCTCCCCGCGCGGACCCCCGGCCAGGCTGCCGCTCCGTGTTCCGGCCCGGCTTCAGAGCGAGCTCGAGAGGATGGCTCCCCCGGCTTCCCGTGCCGCACTAGGAGCACGGGCGCCTAAGGTGGGTCACCTGCCGGGAAGGGAACGCGAGGTGCAGACGCACGTGGGAGGAGCGCAGGTCCCAGTGACCGTGCGGACCTGGGGAGTGGGGGAAGAGGTAAGCTCCGACCCAGCTGGGATTTGAGAGTAGACGGGACGTCCCAGATTTGCAGTGACTGCGGATTCACTAACCCAACCGCCCACCCTCTTGGCAGCGCTGGTCCCGCCCCTTGGACTGAAACCCAAGGAGCCGCCGCACCGGGAGGGCGGGACTGACTCCTCTAGGACCCGCCGCGGAGGCCGGTGCCAGGCGGGGCGGAGCCGAGCCTCCGAGCGCAGGGTGGGGCGCTGGGCACCTGGCCGGCGGGACTTGGGGCAGCACCAGAGCAGGCTGGGCAGCAGTGGGCGCTCGCGATCCTCCTTGGCCCCACGCGCTCTCCCTCAGGGCTCGGCCTCCTGCGTCCCCTCCTCCTGCTCCTGCTCCTCCTCCTGCTCCTCCCCTCCCCCGTACTGAGCACCAAAACGCCCGCCTGCAAGGTCCTCAGCGCACTGGCAGGCACGAGCCGCCGCCACCGCCGGGTCTCAGCGGGTGCCCGCGCCACTTCTCCTGTCCACCCCGAGGCGTCCTGAAATTCGCTCCACCCGCCGTGGGTGCGCAGCAGTGCTGCCCATGGCCCAGCCCGAGAACCTGTTTAGAGCGCCCGACGGGCTGGACGGCTGCGCGGCTCAGGTAAGTACGGCGTGCACGGGGCTGGGGGCTCCAGGCTGGGGAGTGGCAAGGTGCTGGCCACTGCGGCGACTTCATCTGTCGTCCCGGACTTAGGGCAAGTGCAGAACCGAAGATGAGTCGGGCTGGAGTAGGTGGGGTGGATGTACGGGGAACCAGGAAGAAGAGACCAGGGCTTTCCCGTCCTCCTCACCTCCTGCTCTAGCACCTCAGCCGTGGAAGTCCCCAGGGACTGTTGGTCTATAAGGACAGGGATCTGGATTTCTGACTCTTAATGAGTTGGCTTTTTCCCCCCTAGCGGAGTCTCGAGGTTCGCTCCTGCCTGCCGCTACGCGCTGGCAGCTTCACACTGGGGCGGTGTGGGGCAGCCAGAGCGCAGCGCTCAGTGGAGCCGGGTACCACTCGGGCCGGGAACTGGGTTGGAGCTACAGTCCGCAAAAGTAACTTGGCTGAGGGAGCATCCGGGCTGGAGAAGCTTTGATCTGGTTCCCCTTTGCATTTGGTTGGAGTAGGGACGAGATCGGGCATTTCCCCAGGGGCGGGGGTGCTAGCAAGGAGAGAGATAGAGATGACAGCCCGGACAGTAAGTAGTCTCTCTTTCCAAATGCCAATTGTACGAGGCTCCTGATTTTTCTTATTACTTTCTACTTATTATTTTTTTTACTTCTCGATTTCTATTTTGGGCACCTTGGGTAGTGGCAGAGGATGGGGGTGAGGGGTGACGGGGAGCGAAACCGCGGTGGGAGCGCGTAGCCCCCAGCTCTGAATGAGGAACTTACTCGGCGAGCCTGCCCTCTCCAGGTGCGCTCTCCCAGCCGAGCGGCAGCCCGCGCGCTGCTCCCCCTTCTGGCCCCATCCCTTCCGGGGACCGAAAGGCCGGCTTTGAGAGCGGAACCTAGAGTGCAGGCCGGTGAAGGGATGGAGAAGCGGGAGCGAAAGCCGGGGTGCCGGCGCAGGGTGTGCGGTGTACTGGGCTGTGCAGTTATTTGCCGGCGCCATAGGTCTTTCATCTCACCCGCCTCGGCTGGGAGGGCATCCGCGCTTCCTCGCACACCCAGGGCAGTCTCTCGGGCTAGGAGTTGCATCCCTCCCTAGCTGCCCCCGACTTTGCAGAGCCAGTCGTATCCCTGCCTTGCCTTGCGCGAGTCTCGCTCCTCCCCTTCCCCCAGCGTTATCTCGGGCTATTTTTATCCACAACTTGTGCCAAGATGCTTTTGGGGGGATTCTGGGGAGGCGACTCCAAATCCATCGTCTTTGGGCTGCGCTCCCAGAAGCAGTCTCTTTCTAGCAGGGAGCAACCCCAAGGAGTGGCGGGGAGAGTGGCCCAAGAAGCAGAGGAGCTAGGGCGCCCGCTCCTTCTCCCGAAGCCCGAAGCCCGCATCCCGAGCTCTGGAGGAAAACCCCGCCACCGCCCGCCCGGGAGCCTGTCCCCAGACGAGTCCCCACGCGCTGGGGTGCTGGCTGTTCGGCAGCGCTGTGGCAGCAACCTGAGCGCACGCAAGATCCTTCTGTTTCCCCATCGCGTTCTCGCTTTGCAGCCAAATCTCACCTTATTTTGTTGAAATGCAATTACCAGCTTCCACTCAAGGGTTAATTCCAGGAATTACATCTTAAGGAAAAAAAAAAGGAGGGAGCGATAACCTAACTTCTGCCTCCTAGCATTTTTAAAGCGCATCCTTTGGCGTAGGGAATTATTCTTGCTTCCTGCTTTCCGGGTAATATTGGGTAACACTGGGTGCAGTTAGAATAAGCCTTACCTACTGAAATTTCAGAAGATGAACGCTTCAGCTGCGATAATCCCCGTGTTGCCCTTCCCTTTGTATTTCCAGTGCTTAGATTTTCCCCCACAGGATTGCAGAAATAACGTATTGAAATGGACCATTGTGTTATGTAAGGTTTTCTCCAGCGCTAGGCAGAGAAAGATCCGCTTCTAAAGGAGTCTTCCCGGGATTCAGCTAGCCCATCTAACTCTTTCAGCCAACTTTGACAGAGATGGACAACTTCATGACTAAGCACTCTTAAGTGGAAGCAGTCAATTATGACAGCAGCATAGAGCGAAGATCCCTTGGTGAGGCTTACCTGAACTGTGTGCTTCTAGGCTGTTGTTCTACCGTGAAGCCGCAGGTCATACATGCACTGTAGCTTTAAGATGGGAGATTTTTGTTCTGGGAAGCTGGTGACAAAGTGGTACTTTGAACTTACAAATGGGAGTCTGGAAAAGCCAAGAGCTCTTTACTCTCCTGTTGGTATTGCCTAGTATGAAATCTTGTACCTCCCCACCACACTCCTTGCAAGTTGGGTCTTGTGCTTTTCTTGTTGAAAGAAGAGATTATTTTATTAAAAAGTCCTCCTCCCTCCTCGGAGCTCTCTGAAAGGAAAAGCCATGGGGAAGCTTTTCTTGTCTTAAACTAAAACTTGATGTTGACTAGGAATGGAGCTAGAGAGATGGACTCGCTAGTGTAAATTGCTGGATAGTGCACACTGCCTTTCCTAGACCATGGCATCTACGCACAGTGGCACATACTTGCCGTGAGTACTGGGTCAGGTTCTGTCTACAGAGGCTTGGGTTTGAGTGAGGCACAGTGAAATGTATGGATGTTCTGATGGAACTGGCCCTGCACCTGAAGTTAGTGCTTGGATACCAGGTTTCAGAGCCTGCCTCTAAGCCAGGGTCCTTGTGCGAGAGACAGTTGTGGCAGAAGAATAACTTCCTAGTTGCTCCGTGGGAAATGTAGTAACTTTCCACCTATTGCAGAAGGCAGTAACTTTCCAGCTGGTGTTGGAAAGGATCAGGGCTGGTCCCTATCAATTTGGTGTTATTGTCGTCCATCAACCTGGCGTATGACCTAGTGCTTTTGATTGAGGCTGTCTTTTTCTTATAGGAGAGGGCAAGAGAGTGCTAGCTGGATTTGAAGACAACTTCTTGCCTTACAACCTTAGGCAAAGCATGTTTCCCTTCTTAAGCCTCATGTTCTTCCTCTGTAAAATAGTGATGGGAGGATTATTATGAGAAAGTGAGAAAATGTATGTGAAAACACCTTGATGGTTACAAAACACTTGTGGAATTGTCCAGCGTTATTTAATTTGCCCTTCCTGCATTTTTTATTTTATGTCCATTTTAATGTTCATTTAATGTTCATTTGTTCATTTTTAATGTAGTTTTGATATGTCTGAGTAAATTACATATGCAAAACATTAAATGAGGGAGAGGATCTCATATCCTTGTCCCATCTCCTTGTCCTCACTTCATCTGAATTCTACAAGCACCAGGGCTTACTACTTCTCAGCAAGAATTATTAATCAGAGTTTTCAGGATCTGAGTGAAGTTTTAGAGTTTTTTTTTTTTTTTCTTTTTAACTTAGTGCATGTTATATGTCTTAAGAAAATCTGTTTGGAGGGAGGGCCCTGATATTGATTAATCAAAAAAGGAAAAAAGTCATAGATCAGTGAATAAATTTGGGAAAAATGAAACATGATCAGCTTCACAAGATGACCTAAATCTGCCTTGTCTAAATCTGTCGTCAGCAGAAAGCACTGGCTCCCTATTGCCTTTTAGGTATTGTTCAGAATCTGTCCCCAGAACCTAGCTCAGTGCCTGGTACTTAAGAGACATTGAACAGTCGATAAATATATTTGGAACAAGTGAATGAATGGTTGGACTGAATCTTCACAGCAACCCTGGAGAGCAGATGGCATCATTTCTATTTTAAAGATGTGGAATCTGCAGATCAGAAAACTTAATTACTTTTCTTAAGGTACAAAGAACTCCAGAGCGGAATTCAGGTCTGTCTGTTCCCATTCCACTCTGCTGTCCTGCTTGTAGTACCCTCCTCCTCCATCTCCACTTAACTCCCTACTAAATGGTTAGAAAGTGCCCAACAAACAAACACCCTCTTATTTAGGAAGCAACACCCTTCCTCCATAGTGGTTTTTTGTTTGTTTATTTGTTTTTGGTGTTTCTCCTTGTCCATATCTTCCAACCCTGAACTAGGGCTGAATTGAATGATCCCACTCGGAGCCTGAAATCCTGAGGGACTAGCTAAAGGACACAGGGACAGTTTCGTGTTTATTTACCACCTTGGGACATGAATCAGGTGGCGTCAGCAGCATCAGTGCCCCAGGGTGTTGTCCCAGCGGTACCATTCCTTCGGCATCAGTTTGAGATGTTCCCTGGTGCTCAGCTTCCCTTCATTCCTTCTCATTTTGCAGTCCTGGATTTTCAGCTTCTCACCAATTCCTAGAGGCAGCCCATAGTCTTCAAGTAAATTCCTTTTCTCTCTGAGTTAGCCAGAATTGTAACCGGCTCGTGCACAGCCTCTCATAATTCGTCTTCAGTCCTGTCTCCAGCATGAAGCATTCTCAGCTTCCTCTACCCATGGGGAATTAAGTCTACGGCTTTTTCAGTTCGTTAGGATAATATCTACTGGGCCGTAGTTTGTCAATAGTTATGTGCTACTACGAGATGTCTAGAAAAATGAATACATTATTCTTCCAAGGAATAGCCTGAACATAACAGAAATAGAGCCCAGTGGGCATTTTTATTTTTTTTCCTCTATGTTATGTGCTTTTTGGTAGTTTTCCAGCAGGGGTCGCAAACTCAAAGGCCTTCAGCAGCCAGGAAAGTGACAGTCTGCATGGACTAGGCCATGGGCCTGGTGGCTGAGTAATGGGGTGATTGATTGTAGGCCAGGCCCAGCACAGGGGCTGCAGGTGGGATCAGGCCTGATCTTGCCAGATCTGGTTTTGTATTTTCAAGATAGACTGTGAATTCACAGTTTAATGTGAAATCTACTGACTTAAGTGCCAGCAGCTAATTCAATATTTCTAAATAACGCCATGTGGGCCAAAGCAAACACTTCCGTAGGTAGACCTCAAATCTGTGGCACAGACCTTCCCATTTATGGCCTGTGGTTGCCAGGGACAGAAGAGAAATTTGACCGGAGTATGAGGTTCACGAGAATCAGTTACCCAGAATATCCAGGCAAGAGTGTAGCGTAGACAGT